TCGTATTAGGAGAAAGAACAAAAAGACAACATTTATTCAAAGCTACAAAGGACAAGGAAGATGTGGATGGCCATGATCCCCTACGTCCTAAAAGGACTCGAAATATAAAGGAAGAAGAATAAGATTGGGTAAATTATTTGTAATACAGAGTTTTAGAAGAAATAACAAAAAGACAAAACTTATTCAAAGCTACAAGTGACAAGGAAGATGTGGATGGCCATGATCACCTACGTCCTAAAGGGACTCGAAATATAAAGGAAGAAGAATGAGCTTGTGTAAATTATTTGTAATACAGAGTTTTGGAAGAAATAACAAAAAGACAACACTTGTAAATATTTTGGAAGACGTTAACAAATATTTTAAATTCATATACTGGTGTCTCTGCAGCCATTCCATTTTCTACATAAGTCTATCTTAAGTGCTTCTGTGTTAAAATGCATCGGCGTTTGTAGTCCAACGTTCATTTTCAATGTCCTTTACTGCTCAACACCATAGACTATAAACTGATTGAAATGCATCATTATTTATTGACGTAAGAAGAGGCAAAAATGCTTCTTATGCATTCGATTCAAAAATATTCTTCTGCTTCTCTTCCGATCTCACATCGACACTTTTATACAAGGATAATACTACTATTCACCGAAAACAAGTGACAACAATTTCACGCATCAACAAATTTTCGAGTAAATAACCTAGTGAGAACCACAATACAATTGTGACTCTCCCATCTGAACAGATGAAAACGTTGTCTAATCACCAGAAAAAAAAAAAAAAACGATTCGAGGAGCCATTGTTATTTCATTCATATGTACACTTTAATAGAAACAAGTTGTTTTTGAAACCAGTAAAGTAAAATGTATATGAAATAAAAGCAAAATTATACGCTTGAAAACAATAAAACACTTGTGACTCTCCAAATTCATCCGAAGACAACTTACTCTTCGGCTCCTCATCGGAAAGAATTTTCAGTGAAGCTTTCACATTTCTTGCGTCTGTAGAACTTTGTCTAATCTAATAGTAAAATACACATTTCCATCCTATCTCGATAGAATGGATCAAAAACAAAATAATATATCTATCTATGAGAAGTACAAAACACTACAGATTTAACTATCTGTTCCTATGTCCCCAGGAAAACATGTGGTTGAAATCTGTCTCTATACCTCCGTACATTTTGTTAGTAACCTGTTCAATTCTGACCCCCACCAAATAAATAAGAAATTGTTTTGCAAAATCTACTGCTACTGAGAAAATCACGATAAAACCTTATTTAATTTTGTATATTGTCGGGTAGTGTAACAATAACAATTGATTTATTGATTTGTTTTCTAAGGCTTATCAAACATTTGAAACTTATTCAAAGCCAGGAAATATTTTTAGATTCTAAGAATGGGGGTGTGCAAAATAATGATTTAATAATACAAATCTTAATTATTAACCCATGACTTTGAGTGGAATAGGTGGAGTAGTATGGTATTTGCGCGTAAATGACTATAACCAATCCAACTTGAATTGGAACTCGGCTTTCCCATTAACAATTCCGAGCCCTTATCCTTTGCACCTCGTATCCCTAAGCGGTTACCCATCTAGATACTGACTTGTCTCGATGTTACTTAGGTGATCGTATCAGAACCATTGTTTCAACGTGATGTGCCTGCAAGCACGTAAAATTTATGAGTTGCGGGCGTTGGAATCGCTGATTTGAGTACAAATCCCGATCTGTTCTAAAAGCATGAATTAATCCCGAACCCCACGAACTGTTAAAAAGTAGCATTGACACAATTCTGTAGCCTTGGTTGTCATCAGTCTAGGAAAAGAACTAAGACGAATTCAACATCGCTGAGAAGTCAATGGAAAAGTAATCCGTTATTATTAAAAAGAACGTATTTCATTTCACAAATGATAAAAGAAAGGAACCCGTGGAGATTCACAATAGCTTACGCCATGAAGAAATATTGAATTTAAAGATGTATATTTTGAAATATATTTTTTCTAAAACGATATAATTATAGTGGGAAAATGCATTTAATAAATACTTGACTATTTCTTTATAAGTGATATGAATTTCTTATAAGCTATGAACCTTTTTGCCTTTTATCGAAAATTGATTAGTGAATTCCTCTCTCAATATTAAGTCGAGAAAGTCAAGATAACAAGTTAATTCGAATTATTATAATTATTATTTTTATTTCCTTTGATTTCTGGCGTTTACACATTTCTTTCCGGGTCCCGCCCAGAGACCTAAGGTTAGAAATGGAATCATGACACTTTCCACTGACAAAAAAATAAAATAAAAAATTACATAGATAAAGGCCAATTGTTCTGACAAGTACAGCCCATACTTTAGTGTGGGCTGTACATGTCAGAACAATTTTTTGTAGGTCTTTGACGCATGGTCTTCCATGAATCCCTTCTATTAGTCTACTGAAGTCTTTTCCAACCAGTCCTAGGGCTCCAACTACAACAGGGTTCCCATGTGCAACGTTTCTGAAATTTCTATTTCAAGGTCCTTGTATTTTGACAGCTTTTTGAATATCTTCAAAGATACATTGTTGTCTGCAAGTATTGCCATATCAATAAGGAGGCATTTGTTGTTTGTGGTCTTTAATAACAATATCTGGGCGGTTGCCTTTGATTGTTCTGTCAGTGTGTATTGTGTAATCCCATAGAATTGTAACAGGTCCTATCTCCGTAACCGGGTCTGGGTGGTGTTCATACCAGTTTCTTTCAGTTTCCTTCCCGTAGAAGTTGCATATTTTCCAGTGGAGATATTGGCCCACTCTGTCATGTCGGGTTTTATACTCAGTGGGTGCCAATATCGTGTAACCTGATACAAGATGATCAATTGTTTCTGGATATTTATCACAAAATATGCATTTTCGGCTAACACAATATTTTAATGTATTTGCTTGATAATTTCTAATTGACAAGCATTGGTCCTGTGCAGCAAGGATAAAACCTTCAGTTTCAGCTTTCAACCCTGCACTGATGGTTACGGGTTTTGTCTACGCCAGCTTGTTTGGTACGGCCAGAGTATTGGCCATGAAGCGGTTTATTTTGCCATTACTTCTGTATCTGGTCGGTTGCATTCGTCTTTGCTTTCTTTTTTAAGTATTTTGCAGATTCAGTGTATTGTGCTTTACTTATATTTCTGCACCCATTTAAAACTCCCTTTTTTACTTGTTGGCTTACTGCTTTCATGTTTTTTGACCGATACCATCATCCAATCTTCTATAGTTTCCACTTTCGAGGCCAACTGTTCTAGTTTTGTAGGACAGTTCTAGTTGAATTAATCCTCTGCCTTTTTCGGATCTGGGCACATATCGCTGATTTGATATCAACATCAGCTTTGGGATGATGCATGCAGTAACAAGTGAGAAGCTTTCTCATTTTGGCGTCCATTCGCTTAATTTCAGGTATGGCCCTTTAAGGACATTAAAGCTGTATAGAACCACTGTCAAGGTGTTTATGGCTGATATTCTGTTTTTTGAGTTTAGCTCGGTATTTAGTACCAGGCGTACACGCCTGTAGTACTCTTTTCTTATTTTCCCTTCATTTGGGGGTGTTGTATGTCATCTTCTTCGCTAATTCATAGGTACTTATAGGCTTCATCATGCACCAGTTCCTTAATCTTTGTGACAAAGTCTAAATCTATTAAGGGTGTTTCTATAATTCTACCTTTCTTGAATTTTACTTTTGTAGATTTATCTAATCCAAAGTCCATACCTATGTCGTCACTGAAGTGTTTTACAATATTGAGGAGGCCTTTCAACTCATTGTCGTCTTTGGCAAAGAGTTTGAGATCATCCATGTAGAGTAGGTGATTGAATATTTTCTTATTTATTTTGTAACCATAGCTACTGTTGTTCAGTTCATGTGTAAGAGGGATTAAGGATAAGCAAAAGAGAAGTGGTAACAGAGAGTCTCCTTGAAAGATTCCACGTCAGATATTCAGACGCTCGGATATGGCAGTGCCTCCGGTGTGACTAAGGTATAGTTTGGTGTTCCACATTCCCATGCTGTGCTTAAGGAAATTTAATACCACTCGGGAGACTTTGAACATTTCCAAAGTCTTAAGGATTCAAGAATGTGCAACACTATCAATGGTTTTACGATAATCAATCCACGCTGCGCTTAAGATTTCTGCGTCGTCTCCTGCAATTTTCCAGGATCATTTTATTTATCAGTAATTGATCTTTTCAGTCATATGAACCTCTTCTGGATCCCTTCTGTTCCAGGGGAAGAATGCTGTTTGTTTCGAAAAAGGAGTAAGTACGGTTCCTCCGGACAGATGTGATTATATTATTTTGTGGAAAGTTATTTGTAGAAAATTATATAATAATAATGATAATAACATATATATATATATATATATATATATATATATATATATATTATATAATTTTCTACGAATAACTTTCTACAAATTTGTGATATTTTTGCACTAAAGAATAATTTCGATCACAATTAAAAATTTCCATCTAGTTTCTATAAAACTAGTTTTGAATTTTTAGACACTAGAGTAATGTAAAATTTTTCCTTACCTACCTATAGTTTCTTTCAAAAGAAATAAAATCATAAACATTTTAAAAATGTAAGCGTCCATACTCAAAACAACCTTGGGGTTTCCGATCGTTGTACTTCTGAAATCATTCGTAGAGGAGGAAAAAACCTGTGCGTTGTGCAACATGCTAATCACGAATTACAAAGAGAAACATCACGGTTTCTAAAGAGGGCTGGTAATTATACAGATTCCCATTTAATATACGCCTCCAAATATATCAAATATGACTTCATGTGCGTTGCGCGACGGGAACATTAAATAAATGATTCATTGGACATCGGTATAATGTCAGGAACAATAATATGACATCAACGAAGATTGCAGAACATTTTATTACTCACGAATATAATTTCGACGAACATCTTAAGGTGAAAATTCTGAAAAAAAATATTAAAAAATCTGCCAACCTGTCGTCACTTAAAAAGCTTGATAATGATTACGGTCAAATCACGCTGAAAACACCGGTTCTCGTTCGATCACCGAAGTTAAGCATCGTAGAGCCAGGTCAGTACTTAGATGGGGGACCGCTTGGGAACACCTGGTATTGTAAGCCCCCAAAGTCCAACCCTTACCTCACAGTCGGTGGGGGGGTGTAAACGGTAGTGTCAGAGCTATGCCGTCCGGAACTTCGTTCCTGGTAGGGCCACCCAAGGCGGACAGGTCTGACACACACGCCGGCTAACAAGGGCTCTGGTGAAAATCCAAGGAGCGTCTGCATCGGCAACCGGCGACTTCTGGTCGTTCCTGTCTCTGCGTCTGTGGGAACCCCGCGGCAAGCAAGAACGCTATCCGAGTAGGCCTGGGTACCCTACTTCTGTAATTTATCCCAAGAATCTTCTTCTCACAACAGGAAGAAGCCGGCTCAATCCGCCCAGGGTGAATGCCGCATCACACACACACACACACACACACTTGATAATGATTACGTAAGTTAATCAATAACTTCCCGGCCAGTGGGGGGTGATGAACAGAATGGCAGGAGCGTTCCATAAGATTAATAATAAGCTGTTTAATTAATTGTTATTAGTAACTAATCAACTAACAAAAAATTGCAAGATGAACAAGATCGCTACCATATTAAGGACGTTCCAGTTGCATGCATTTAAGCGGGCGGCGTTTCGTTCGTTATGATGCGTTCATTGCCAGGACAGCCGTTTTTCATTACAAAGTTGTTAGGCATAAGTTAAGCAAGATGTTTGGCAAAGCCGGGAACATGGGCGCAGATTTGCGCAAGGAAGAGATCAACCAAGGTTCCGATAGTTACATTCAGGAGATCAATACCCCGGAGGGGCAACTCTGAGGTCGACCGATGGCATGTGCGAGGTGTTTCGTCGGCATTTCGAGAATGAATGGGTCATAAATCTGATTAGCTAGGTATAGGATAGTTAGTATCGACGAGCCTTGATCTATCTCCACACTTTTTTCGGCCTTGTGCCACAATTACTCAATTTAATCTGTATTAAATCGCAGACAAGCAACATTTTGGCTAAGGCTTATGATCCTTTTTCTATATTTCTATATATTTATACTTGATAAAATTATTTAAATATGATTTGAAGACAGACATTCTGTTGAAATATTGTTTAACATTGTCAAACACTGAGTTTTTCTTTTCTTTATGTTTTCTTAAACCGCGTTCTTCTCTTAACATGTTGGAAAATATTGAAAGAGTGACATCAATCATATTGTTTGTTAATAATAATAATAATAATAATAATAATAATATTGTTTAAAATAATATTTTGTTTAGAAGATACCGGCATGTTTTATGAAAAAAAGAAAAAGAAAAGAAGAATTTACATTTGTCTATAGGCTTTTAGATTGAGTAAATGGATGACGGAACACAGTTTAAGGGAAAAGGAAACACATTTTAGATAATGAAATCAAACAGGTGCAACGATTTAGATAACTGAGAAGGGTTTTAACAGAGGACGGAAAATGCGTACAAGAAACCCGAAGGTTCATTGGGATAGAAAAAAAAGTGCCTCCCAAAAGCTGAGCAAATTTTTAAGATATAGGAAATATTTCATTAAGAAAAAAGAAAAAATCACCATTATTTACATTATTCAGACTATTGTCCTAATCTTTATCGCCAAATTTATTACACCGTTTCGGCAGTTGTACGCTCCGGCCTTCTTCAGTTGGTTGGAATGTCGAACTGAACCCTTTATTTCGCTCACTGGGGTAGACTGTTCTAGTTCCACCTACCATGTTTAATGGATGTCAGTTATCAGTTTTCAGTGGTCAGCCACGCCTGATTTTTCCACATATGGAGAGAAAAAGGAGATCAACGCCTTTTGTGGGATCAGGTTGAGATAAAAGACAAAGAACACCATTGGTAAATTCGTAAATTTAAGGAATCAGCACATATGCTAGGCCACAAAAATCTCCTGATCCGACCAAGCAAAGAAATGAATACAATATGGGAACCAGTAATAAGGAGTGCCAGAGAAAAACGATAATTACAACAAAAATTGCAATATGAGCTCTGGTGAAAAATATGTAAAGATAACAGCAAAACTTGAAATATGAGTAATGGTAAAAAAATGTTGCTGAAGACATTAGGTTTATAATACCCTGAAATTCATACACATTAGGTTTATATTAGGTTGGTGCAAAAATAATGACGTAATAATGTCGTTTTTTGACGTTAAAAAATACGTCACAAAACGACATTATTACGTCATTATTTTTGCACCAACCTAATAATACCAAGAAATTAATACAGAAGGACACATGGCACAGAGAATAAAGCCGTTGGTTAGATCCAGTGACAAGACCCAAAGAGTATGAGTTCAATACCCGGTTAAGGCAGAACAGAACTTGGAGAGGAGAATTATCAGTAGATAACTGATAATTTAAAAGTCGCTGTATAAGTTTATTTAGTCCCTAGTAAAATGCCCTTGTCTTGAATATACTCCCTAGACAGGAATATGCCCACTCCTTTCCCCGTGTAAGCTGCATAATATCGTATCTACAAATGGTAGTAGGGGATATGGATGGTTTCTGAATTGGCACACATCAGCAGGGGTTTTCTGTGTTCATTCAGCGGCCCTCAATTGTATTCTGTTTTCTTTATTTGTACATTTCTTAGGCTAAACTTCTGAATGTGTATTGATTTTCGTCCAAATGATAGAGGAGAGATCATTTTTTTTATTGACCACTGTTGTTTTGTGCATGAAATCTATAACAAAGAATTTAATATTCTCTGAAATTTGACACGAACTGGTTGTCTGATGTCTTATGGGCATTATTGATGCTGGTCAAACTTTGAATTTGGAATGACTGACTTGACATTCGAGTTTAGAAAAAAAAAAAACAGTTCTTTACAATTAAATGAAAATTGGGTATACGCTGGCTGAGATGCGATATAGTTTAGACATGTCTATTTTTTCCTTTAGTTATGAATTGCTTTAATCTTTTCACCCCAAGCAAGATGATAACGCCACGAAGATGCAAAGGGTTACTGGCTATTAGAAATTATAAGGAAAAACGACTATTATGGAGAGAGGACAATAAAAGAACAATAATTAAGAGAAAGAAGACTGAAGATAACGATTGATATTGTATTTAGATGTTTGAAGATTAAAGATGACAGTGAAGCAAGAAGTCGGTTAAATCTAGCCATTTCAACTGTAAAATGATGAGACAGCCGCAAATCTAAAACTGTGCTTAACTTCATAATGTCTAGCTTCCATAGCCGAAAATTCATCGGAAAAACTGCCATTAAAATATTTATTAAAAAAGAAAGCTACATTACAGTGGAATGAGAGAGACTGAAGTCGAGATGCCATGTTAGGATCAATAATATTGCAGAATAATTACCATAAAAAGATTTATTGAAAAGCACAAAGGAGTTACGTTTCGGTGAAGGCAAAGAGACTGTAAGCGAGATGACAGGTCAGGAGCAATAACATTGCAGATTCTTCATTGGGATTTATCAATAATTTTTAAGTATATATAGCAGTGACTCCAGACAAAATGTGGCAGCGATATTCAAAACAAGAACGCATGTAAGATGGATTCTGGTGAGGTTGAATCATTCATTTTTTTTTAAGTAATTCACCCCAAGCAAGGCTGTAGTGCCACTAATACGTAGGGGATTACAGAGAATTAAAGTGAGAGAAAAGGCTGGGGATAGAGATGATTGAAGAAAGGATAAAAGATGAAAGGGTTTCAAGACAACAAAAGATGGCGATTAACGTAGCATTTAAATCTTGGAAGATTGTAATTATCAAAGGAAGCAAGTAATAGGAAGGGATTTCCGCTGTCAGAAAGTGCGAGAAAAGAAACTGTTGCAGTAGAAGTAGCGGCTACATTTATCTATTTGAACATTAAATGGGTGGGACCTAGATGCCAATCTAGTAAAGTGCATAAATTCATTAGTCGGGGCACCAGGGTAAAAAAAAGCTTGTCAGAGCAGATGACATGAAAATATTTGTAGAAAAGACAGAGGGAAACTACAGCACGTCTGTGAGAAAGTGACTGAAGTCGAGATACCAAGTTAGGATCGATTATATTGCAGACGCTTCTTTGGATCTGTCAAGGACCTCGAGACGAACAGCAGAAGCACCAGACAAGTTATGGCAACAGTATTCAATGTGCGGACGAATATTGGATCTGTAGATGTGTAAGATGGATTCTGACGAAAAAAAACTTTTGGCACGACACAGTGATCAATTTTCTTTGCAGTAGTTGCAGCTATCGGTTCAGTGTACTTGTTCCGCTTCAAGTCTGTCGAAAAGGTGAGGCTAAGATGGCGTAGTGCGACGCTCTCCTGGTATCGAGCATCAGCTATGTTGATGGCGAACAGGGAAATTTTTCTATGGTTGTTAAATATGAGCAGTTTAATTTTGGAGGCATTAAAATTTCCAAGCCATTTGCGACCACAGTTAAACACTGATTGGAGGTCTTTTTCGAGAGCAGCTGCCAGGTTACCTTTTTCAGTGCTGACGGATTTACCATTGAGACACGAGTAAATGGTAGTGTCATCTGGATAGATTCATTCTTTGGAACTGATGGTATCAAGAATATCATTGATGAAGATCAGAAAGAGTGTAAAATCTAGGATTGAAAAGGGGAGGCCCAACTTCATGTGAAGGGATCTGGAAGCTAGACCGTTCAGAACGATTTTCATTTCACGATTGGTTAAAAATAATTGGATTAACTCAAATAATCGTCCTGTAATACCGTATCCCTGAGGAATACGTAGAAGACCAGCATTCCAAACCCTGTCAAACACCTTTGAGATATCACAGCATGAGCTTCACCGTTATTATAAAGTGCTTGATATACATATTAAGTGATGGTCGTAAGCACGTCAGCTGTAGACCGTACAAAACGGAAATCTTATTGTTTATCAGAGAGTAGGTCGTGAGAGCTATTTTCTTAACCACTTCAGCATTGATTAAAGCCTCGAATACTTGACCGAAAACGGTAGGAGACTGATAGGTTTGTAGTTAGAAGGACCAGAAAGTTCTCCAGCAAGCGAGGACATTAAAAACCTGGAAAGCAGGCAGCAGCGAAGCAATAGTGTTATAGTTTGAAGAGAA